CACCCAGAGAGAGATGGGCGAGCGGTCAGGACGTGGGGCTGCGGGAAGGGCAGAGGGCGGCCAGGCAGGTGCCTCGAGCTCTGGACCCCCAGACCGCCAGAGCCGGTTTTGTACAAAAAGCAGCCGAGATCACCCAGGGCTGTGGAAATTGCCGGGGGGGGGGGGGGTCTGAGCCAGCGATGCCCTTAGTTGCTGCCGGGGGGCGATCTGGACTGAACCGACTGGGAGGAGGTCCAGGGCCCGCGCAGAGCAGGGTGTGGAGCGAGCTCTGTGGTCGCAGGTGGCGGACGCGCGCTGGACTCGGAGGCGCATCCCTACCTCGTGCCCCGCGCGGGTCAAGCCACTTACATCAGTGATGCCCAGGGTGCCCAGTGGTGCTGTCCTGCGCAGTCTTCCGGCGCGATCCCACCCAGGCAGCGCCAAGGACGTGAGTCGAGGGTACCGGGGCTTACCAGGTGACGGGGCCCGAGCAGGAGCCGGCGGGGTGGCGGGGTGGAGCGGGCTCTCGAGTCCCAGCTCCCTCCTCAGCCTTGGCCGCTGCTCTGGCGGGGGCGCTCTCAGGCTCCGGACTTTTCATTCATCCCTTCACACTCCTTCCTCAGGCCAGCCTCTGATTGGCTATACCTGGTCTGACGTCACTGCCTCGTTTCTCCTTCTCCCCCCTCCTCATCCTCGCCCCCTCCCTCCCCAGGCCAGCCCAAGGCTCGCAATTGGGGTGCCCCTCCCCCAGAGAATGGGGTGGGGTGTGGGAACCAATGTCTTCGTGTGGATCCTCGGTCTTTTGCTGCCTACATCTATTACCCGCCTGCCACGTTTGTGATTCATTGCCATTTGCGGTTCTGATGGCCACCCTCGCTCTTCTTGGAGGTCTTATATTTTCCATTTGGGCCCTACAGGACGTTACACCCTATAGTTCACAAAGACAGAAAATAGACTGGGGAAAATTCCCTCAACGAGAGGTGATCTTTTGTCACCTCAGCACTGGGGAGGTTGAGGCAGGGATATGGCTTGGAGACTCTATCGGTCCCAGCCCCCTCCCATCAGGGGAGTCTTTTTGAGCTCTAATCCTTCCTAATATCTAGGAGAGGTAAGGATCTCTTTTGTTCAGGGTTTTTCAACTCAGAACACTGAAGAAAAGATTCTGTGGTTTGAGACTCCTGCTAGGAAACAATGGGTGAGCAAATGGCCCCTCTCTGCGTTCCAGGAGAACCTTTCTTGAACCTGTCTGCAGCATCAAGTTTCTATGAGAGGAAAGAGAACCACAGCTGAGAATCCTAGCCGCGTTTGAGACTCGGAATATGGCCCCAGCCCTGAAGGCCTTTCATAAGTCTTCTCTCCCTATACCCATGATCCTCCAGGTTCCTCTGTGCCAGCTCTGGAGCTGGGCTCCAGCAGGAAGATAACTCTTCAGCACAGCTCAGTCCCATCCTCAACTTTCTCCACCTGGCTCGTTCAGCCAGATGGTCCTTCTCTCTGCTGTAGAAGTAGAAAAGCACCGGGGAGTAGCCCGTTGCTGTTGGGCAGGATTTGGATTCTAGCTACAGCGGCATTCTCAGAGCAAGCCATGGACCCCCAGGAGTTGCTGTGTCTGCCAGTGAGCTGCCCCTCTGTGTTCCTCCTCACCCTCTGCTAGGTCCCTTCTACAAAACTGGTTCAGGCACCCAAATCCTGCAGGTCAGATTAATACCAGCCAGCTCCCTTAACCAGAGACCCTAAAACTCTAGATCACCAGAAGTGGGACCATCATTTTAACCAGCAGGCCTATCCAGATTTTTCTATCTGCTAGTCCATGTACAACCCAAGACAAAGCCAGACCTGTGTGTTGTTTGTCTCGCTTAGATGGAAGGTAATGGCCAGTAGGTTTAACTTGATGCTTCTCCCCAAAACAGGAGAATGTCTGAATACTCATCGCCATTAATGCTGGCATCATGGGTAAGGGTGGGGCAGGTCTGAAATGAGATAAAGCCCACAGGCTGTTTCCCTGCCAAAATGGTGATAGCAAGCTGAAGCAAATGGCCAGATCGCTCCAATGTCTCAGGGCATTCTCAGGGCCAGGTTTAGCCAGAATTCTCTGTTAAACCTCTACAGTGTCTTAAAGCTCTTTTCCAAGAGAGAGGCTAATTAATTGATTTAGGTACTGAATTAAATTAAGTGCAGGGCCTCAACATAGGCAAGGCAAGCCCTCAGCCACTCAGCCTTCCCCTCAGTCCTCTTTTTATACTTTTTATTTTGTGGCAGTCTCACTAGGTTGCTCAGGATAGCTTTGAAATTACTTTAGCCCAGACTGGCTTTGGAATTTTGATCATCTTGCCTCAGCCTCCCAAGTGCTGAGATTGCAAGCCTATGCCACCAAACCCAGCTAAGGGAGAGGTGTTCTAGAAGCTTTGCCAGCTTGAATGCTTTGCTATTTCAGAACTAGGAGTACAGAACTAGAAGGACAGACGAGAAAAAGATATACCCTACACTGTTTCCTCCTGCCCCCCCCCCATCCTTACAGCTCAGAATGGGGTGTCTGGAAGGTTTGGGGGCTCCTGGAGCCCCAGTTGCAGAAAAAAGAGAGCTCTCCCCAAATGCTCTCTAGTCAGTCCCCTTCTGAGCATGGTGCTAAATGCAGTCCCCAAGTCCATCCCCATACCATGCCCACAAACCCTTGAATATTTCTCTGTATGTCACCTCACACTCTTTCACGGGATGCCTGACACACACATCCCGTGCACACTAAACTTCTCCACATACACTGGCCAAGCACCCCAAAAACATTTGCTCTCTCTACAGACCCGCTTAAAAGCTCCAGATGCGCCTTTCTCCCCTCTCCCTCCCTTTCCAGCACCCAGAAGTGTGGAGGTTGGGGCCAGCCTTGTCTGCTGGCTGAAATGTTGCCCTTCCTTCTCGCCAATTTGGGGAGTACACAAAGGTCTCCTCTCCTGATGTCCACTCCCTCCTCATTCTCTTCATGGCCAAATTCAGACTCAACTGGGCTTTCTCAAAACCAACCTTAAGGAAGGAATGAGCACCCTCAGCTGGGTTCTGAAATGTTCCCCCACACAGCAGATACAGACTAAAGCTCTGCTGCCTCTAGTATGGCTTTGAGCTTTTCAAGGGCAGTTCAGTCTAACAGTATCCAAATTAAGGAGAAGCTATCCCAGAAAAGAACACATAGCTAGTCTCAGCTGTCCTGGCCCACTGCACATAGCATGCCCACCCCTGGCCAACGCCTGAGGAAGCAGTCTTTGTCCTGGTTCACAGGACAAGCCCAGCATCTCACTGCTCCTCTTCAGGGGTGCAGGTGAGTGGTACCTTCAGGCCGGTGCAAAGAGGATCTATGCTTGGAGAGAAGTAGAGGTCTCTCCACTCTTTTTAACTGGGATTAGTCCATGAATAAATCATGCTCTTCCAGCTTTAAACAAAAAACCCTTCAAAGGTATCCCTCAGGAACAAGGAGGATTTTTGACATAGTCTTTGCCCGCAAAGAGAAAAAGTAGGTAAGGTTCACGCAGAATATTTGAGAAACATACTTGTGTCAGAGGAGACCGGTCTACCCACCGGAGGCAGCAGGCTGCAGAACTCACAGCTGGGCACAATAGTTCCAGAGGGTGAGATTGCCTCACCAGCCTCAGTCTCCTAAAAGAGACCTCAGCTGGAGCAGAGTCCTCTCTGTTTCCTCCAGCACAAAGCAGTCTCCTCTCTGGTGACCTGTGGACCTCACTGTGAGTCCTTCTTGGGAGATTCTGGAGAGAACATCCCAGCTCTTTGTGCTAACATGAGCCTTCATTCTTTGGGGTCCCCGGGATCACACCCTGGACTCAATACATACTAGGTAAGTCCCCAAGCATTGAGTCACAGTCACAGAGCTGCCAACCTATTGTCTATGTGTCTGGATGGCCCACAGAAAGAGAAACATGGTTATGTTATCTGGATGCAGCCTTTTGAGTCCTTATGTATACTTTGGCATTAAAGCACTTTTTTGAAATAGGTAGTTAAATAAAAACATAGTTTTTCCTTGTTTGCAAGGTGGATTTGCTTTGAAGACACAGATGAGAGCTTCATCAGAGGGTGAACTTATTTCTGAGGCAGAAGCTAATTATTATGACCACTACTAAACAGTATTCTGTTACTGAATATTTGCAATGTTTATAGAATTGTGGCAAATTAAAGTAACAATTGTCAGTTAAAAATAGTAAGTATTTTTTTTTTAAAGTCTAGCCATATGCATAGATGAGGTTAGGATGCCTGGAGACGTGATCTAGAGGAGGTGGCCACTGAGGACACAACCTTCCCCCTCATAAGAGTGGGAGGTTCCCAGCCGCTGGAAACACTGCCTTTCCAGTTACTCCTGGTTCCTCCCAGACCCACTTACCTATTGTCCTGCTCCTACAGTGTCAGGGAGGTGAGACAAGGTGACAGAGATCAGGCTCTTTCTATAAGGCCTTCTATGGTCATAAGCATGAGTGTGTAAATGTGCAGCACACCCACAGTCACGCAAGCACGGGCATGCACACTCACACCCATAAACTCAGAGAGATTCAGTGGTACATCCATGGACAAGTCTAGCAGTATTACTTCCCAACTCTTAAAGGTACATGGCCTCGAATGCCCACTCACTCAGCTCTTTAAGGGCCTCAGGGCCCATTCATTCCAGGCTGCACTCCCCCTCTCCCGGCTCACATGTCACCCATACAGCTTTCTCTGTCCCCTTCTCAAGCCAACCACTTCCCCCACTTCCTCCAGCCCTTCCCCCAGGAGGGTGCTTCGTGGAGCGATACCTTCCCTCTGCACAGAACCAGACAGGGTGGCCTTTTGTCCCCAGGCTGTGCTGTAGCATGGCCTCTTAGCTTTGACAATGCAGGTCATACTACAGAAGAGACCCAAATCAAAGGCTGGAGACCCGAAGGGACAGCAAGTAGGGTGGAGAGCTGGGGGAGCACCCAGGGGAACAGGATTGGCTTCCCTTTCTCCTCCCGCACCCACACCACCATCAAAGCAAGGAAGGACATAAATACCCCAAAGCCAGAGATGCCGGCCACCTATGACGACATCCATCGATGAGATGGAGGAGGCTGCTTCTAGGCGACTGCTCCTGTGGAAGGAGTGCAGAGGTTAGAGTTCAGTCCTCTTGCCCACCATCACCCGTCTCCCCAGTTTTTTCCCTTGGCTCCCCAATTCAATCCTCAGGGCTCAAGGCTGCCCAGTTAGGCCAACAAAGGATTGGGCAGTTCCAGGTCTCTCCGCTCCTTTCTGCTGGGTGACTCTGACATCCTCACCTCCGCTCCTCCACAGCCCCACCCCAGACCTTCAGGCCCAGTGCCTGCCCCGGAGGTGAGCCCACCTGGAGGGGCTCTCTGACAGCAACCCAGAGCCCATCACCCTCTCCTCACCGGCTTCTGCCAGTCTTGGGCTATCACAGTGCATGGGTGGAATGAAGGACCTGGGCTAGGGATCTATTTCTGTCTACACTATGAACTGTAAACTGCTGTGTGCATTAAAGACATTCTCAGTCATAGCTAGGCCGGCTGGTGCACACCTGTAATCCCAGCACTCAATAAACTGAGGCAAGAGAATCCAAAAAGTTCAACACCTTATCTGAAAAAAATAATAATGAAACAAGATCTTTACAATCATATTATCTCCCTTTCCCTGCCCATCTCTGTCTTCAAATCCTTGAATCTCTCAGGATCCAGAAAGACATGCCATGAACGTCAGTTTTCTTCTTTTCATGTACACAAAAGGCATGGATACAAAGCAATGCTTATTATTTAATGCTCGGTGCGTTACTCCATACATATTTCACAGTGTTTTTCCAGTTCTTTACATTCAGATTACATTAGGGTTTAGGGAACAGCAAAGGTAACTCCTAAAACACTCAGATGCAATTCCATACTAATTCTTTTCTGTTCTTTCTTTCTTTTAAGTCAGGAAGGAACCTAAATGCAGAAGAATTTGAAAGGGGAAAAAAGGCACTAGAGAGTAGGAAAGAGCCTTAAACCCAAGCCGGCTTTCTAGGAGTGTTGTGCATGCCTCTTTCCTACTTCCCTTGCTCAACTGACCCAGCTCAGCTGTACCAGCTCAGAGTCTTTGAGGGGGAAGGTCTCAGTCTGAAACTGTTATCCAAGAGTGCCCTCCTCCCCCCTCTACGGACCTGGGAGAAGACAGGTAAGGGCAGGTAGCCCCTCTGATCGATTCAAAGAAGAGTTCAGCAGTCCCTGTCTTTACCCATTGCTTCCCAGTCACCCCACCCCAGGCTCACACAGTGCTCACACAGGGCAACATAAGAAGCCAGCCCAGTGTACACAGAACGTGTGTGTGTGTGTGTGTGTGTGTGTGTGTGTGTGTGTGTGTGTCACAGCTGACGGCCTCTCCTAGCCTCTGGGGCACCAGGATCGCTCTTTTCTGTTCTAATCTCCACTGCTCCGCAGGATTCCAGACTGTGTGTCAAAAAACACCGAGTTGGGGGACTGAGGGCAGGAGAGTGGGGGGGGGGGCTCTTCCTTGCATCCTGGGCCTCTTAAAAAAATTAAAAACAAAAACCAAAATCCACTCCAAGACAGAACAGCTCTATTAGGTAAATGTGAAGAAAGGAGAGAGAGAGAGAGAGACAGAGAGAGAGACAGAGACAGAGAGAGACAGAGAGAGAGAGCGCGCTCCCCCAGCCCCGTATCTGCCCCTCACTCTCGTTCCACTCATGGGAACAGGGTGAAGAAGAATGAAATGAATATAAATTCTGTAAAATGGTTTTGGGGTTTTTCCGATTCTGGCTTCCACCTTCCTAGAAACATGGCACCTTTCCTCTCACCCCAAAGTCCCACCAGACTTGTTTTCCCTAAAACCCAGTCTCTGGGACAGACCCGAATAAGGCAGAGCAGGGAAGAGGACCGACCAGGAGTCCAGATTCTGAGCGATTTCCCTCTTCCCTGTCCCCTCCACTCTCCTCCCTGCCTCCTCTGCTGCATTAAGATGTTGGCCATGTCTAGGAGAGTGAAGGGAGGGGCGGATTAATAGGATCAGTAGCACGGTGACCCTCCCCACCCTCCCACCCCCAATCTCATTGACTAATTTACTGAACTCTGGACTGGCAGGGACTGGGTAGGGAGAGAGATCAGGGGCCTCTGGCCTGGGGCAGAACCCTTGCTTCCAGCTCCCGGGTGGATGCCCTGGATGCCCGGGAAGCAGGGGTGAGAACCCGTGGGCAAGAGTCCAGTTCCACACACACCTCCTTGTCGCCCGCCTCCTTTTTATGAACCCTCCTAAATCTTTACCAGCTTTCCTTTCTGCGATTGTGGCACCGGCCTCCATTAGCCGGGAGGAAGTCTAGGTTTGAATGCCTGGACTCGTTTTCTAGGGTATCGCTCCCCAACCCCAGCCCGGATGCCTGCCAGGGTTAGGACCCTCCCTGGGCCCAGTGGCTACTTACCTTGCCTCTGTGAGGCGAAGAGGCGATGCTGGCGATGCTGGCGATGCTGGCGTGTGGCTGCGCCGCCGCCGCCGCGGGTCTCTCCCAGCTCTTCTTCTCTTGTGGAGTGGAGGATGCGACTCGGGTACCACTGACGCTGACGTAGCATCTCCTATCCATTCAGGAATTTCGTTTGCTTCTTTCTTTCTCTTGCTGCTCTCCCTGGAAAGCCAGGAAAAAAGGGGGATGCTGCCCTATCTGAACCATGACCACTACCAAAATAACAGCCTGCCCACCAGAGCTGCCACCGCCTCCTTCCTTCTCAAGCGTGTGTGTGTGTGTGTGTGTGTGTGTGTGTGTGTGTGTCTTTGTCATCTCTGCTTTCTGCTGCCTTTTCTAACCAGACGCAGGAAGAAGGGGCCAAGGGACACTATTGTTTCTCCAGGCCACCCTTGTCCCCAAGGAAGCAAGGAAAAGAGAATGAATGACAGAAGTACCCTTGTCCCTGTCCCCAGGCATCTTTGAGTTTTAATTCACTTTTGAACTTAAGGCTCTGATTGGATGTGTGCGGGGCGTGTGGAGAGTGGAACTGGCAGGGACTCAGAGAAGACACCCTCTGCTGCCGTTTGAGGTTGGGGTCCTTGGTCCCTCCTCCCCCAAACTCCTCCAGCCAGCTAGCCCCAACAACTGGATTAATCGCAGATTTAGATCTTGGTTGTGAAGGACTAACTGGCCACTGGAAGATAAAGCTGAGAACTGGACTGGGGACAGGGGCCACCAGCTCGCGGATGTCTAGACAGGAGGGGTGGGGCCACAGGCTCAAAGTGGGAGATAAATTATCTTGTTCATAGAGGATGAGAACGATTTGGAGGTCGGTTTCCAGGGCTGGGATTTAATATTTGGTGGAAGGTGAGGCCCCCAACGGTACAATGGTCGGGGTTCTTTTCTTTCACCCCCACTCCCAGCCCCTCCCCCTCCCCCTCCCACCCTCCCTGGCCTGCATGGGAACTCAGTCTGAGCTCCGAGTGACAGACAGCAGGCTGCATGCTAATGAAGTTTGTCTCAAGTTCATTGTCAAAGCCCCCCCTCCCCGTGGCCCCTTCCCTTCCCTTTCAAACACAAATCTCCCTCCAACTTTTGTCCCACAGATCTGGAGGCCACTTGAGTCTCTGCTGGCTGGCTCCCCTCTCTCACCCTCCCCCACGGCTTTCAGTCTCTCCCTTCTCCCCACTACTTTCCTCAAATGGGGAGTGTGTGAGGGGGCTTTCTTCTCCCAGCCTTCCCAGACACCTCTGGCCCAAGCATCCCTAAGCCCCAAGGAGGGATTCTGGGGGTTGAAGTGTCAGAGTCTCCTGACTGTGGCCCTTCCCCATTCCCTAGTAAAAAGCTGCCCCCCCTTCCAAGTCTCCTATCCCCCAACTCCCAGCCCTGTCTGGACCCAGTCTCCCCATTCCAGTCCAGCTGCCCCTCCCCCACCCCTCCCATTATGATTATTTCACTCTCCCTTGATTACATCTGCTTCACTAGCTCAGAAATAAAGATCCTTTGAGACTAATTTTGCACCCCCATCCCTCCCCTCCCCTTCCTCCAGCCCAGGCTCCCGTTAGCTCCTTTCTCACCGGCTGGAAGACATTGAGTTCCTTGTCTAGGGAGCTGGGGGGTTGATAGGAGGGGTGCCAGTGGAATGGGGGGGTCTCTCCAACTCCAGGAGGACGTGTCCAGCAATCCAAACCTGTCCTTCTTTTGTTCCTACAATCTCTTCATACTGTCGCCACCCTCTGAAGCTTGCCTTCCCTCAGTAACCAGGGTCTAGGGAAGGAAGGGGAGGACCCTACACTCACCCCACCCTCGATTCCGGGAGAGAAAAGGGGAAAATTTTAAATCCCCCCTCATTAGCCAGAAAGGAAGCAAAAGGGGATAATTATAATTAAAAGCAGACAGCTGTGGATCCGTCTTTTATGTCGCTCCAAGCCTCCGCCCCATTTCTTCCATCACCCAGAAATCTGCCCCCTGTGTATCCTGGTCCGGCTCCTGCTGGAGTGGGGCTCACACTGGGGGAGACAGGCATAGGACTAGGCCGGTTCACTTCCTCTCCCCATGACACTTTCTGGAAAAATCTTATTAGGCCCAGGAAATACTGTCTCCCTCTTCCTGGCTCATAATCTGTACCTCGAAAGGTGGATCTAGGGGAGGTGGGGGCATTCGGATGAGAATAACTAATTCAATAGCGTGGGGAAATCTTTGCTTTTCCTAAAAATAACCACCATATTCATAATGGCATTAATACTAAGAATGAACTATAACTCAGAACGTTTCCTCATTCCTCCTTGCTTGGAATTGCCTCAAAGCCAGAAGAGAGCACCTAATAACAAAGGCTTGTAGGCTAGAGTACAGACACACAGATACATATGTATGCCTGATCAGTTTGGGGGTGGAGTTGCAAGGCCTATCTCTGCTATCATATGTATTTATAGATCTTGAGCTTAAGCCAGAACAGCAGGGTAATTGTAGCATCATTAGCATATATGCAAATCAGGCAACCTATATACACTGAATGGAGGCAAATTATTATTTATTCTCTTCCCTTTCTCCTTCCCTGGTATAAGCTCTGGTTCCTCTTGTAGCTGCACACCAGCAATTGCCTGACATTGTAAGAGGGAACTGTAGCCTTGGAGGGAGGGGGCCGAGGTGGGGGAGACAAGGAAAACGCAAAAATGATGAAAGCCAGCAAGAAGGTTTTACCCATTTTACTTACTTGGGAGGAGCAGGGAGAGAATCAGTATGGAGACCGAATGAACAAAGCGGATGAGGTAGTAGAGAGAGATAGGCCCTCAAGACAGGGACAGCCTTAAGGCAAATATGGACCTGTTCATAGGGAGTGAGGAGCCAGGCACAGGGAATCTTTTTTGGATCTATGTATGTGGGCTGAGCTGGGGGGTAGACCTCCACACTCACTGCAGGCCATCCCTTACCAAACCCTTTCCCCTAGTAAGTGGCCAAGACCCCCAAGCAGCAGCTCTGTTGGATTTATTCATTGTCACCAACACATGCATACAAACCAGGACCAAGGCTGATCTGAGAGCCTTTCTTACCAGCGCTGGGGTGGAGAGCTCTCTTTGCTTCCGTGAAAGCTTCAGCCTGGGCTCTCTGAGATCAGCCCCTGGTTCAGATTCCATCCCCCTGTTCCTCGGACTTCACACCACCCAGAACGAGAGAGAGACTGGACAGTTCCAGGTTTTATTGATTTCCCTGTCTGTTATTTCTGGGACTCGCTGGGCTGGATCGGACTTGTCTTCCTCTGCCTTGCAGGCAGGATGCTGCTGGCCTTGGTTGGCTGTGGAGCACCCAAGAGTGGCATCAAACCCCATTTCCACCCTGCTCAGAAGGAGCCTCTAACTCCTAAGGCAGTGTTTCTTTTTGACTGACCCCAAAAGCTCTTTAAATTTTTTTCTATTATGTTTGTTTTTTTATAGTGGGGGTTGCCGCTGTGCGCACACAGTCAGAGGACAACTAGGAGGAGTGGGTTCTCTCCTTCCATCCCGTGGACCCCAGGAATTGAACTCAGGTCATCAGCTTGTGCAGCAAAGTGCTTTGCCTCCTGTGCCCTCTCCTGCCCCCCCCCCAACACTCTTTTGACATCCCTAGAGGTATCTCTGTCACCCCCCTTTCTCCCTTTCCTTGCCCATCCATCTGGCATCTACAGAGCCCTTGCCAATGAAGTCACACTCTACAGAGGCGACACTGGGGGGCGGGGGACGGTCACTGAGATTAGGGAAGGGTCTGAAATGTCCCTGAGAGCAATGCATATAAATATTCAAACAAGCAGGAACCAAAAAAAGGTAAAAAGGAAACAACCTCGGGGCTCCAGTCAGATGTGTGTCCAAAAAATGAACCCCTGTTTCACACAGGGTTTGTCACTCACGACTTCACAGCCACCTGGAGCATCTGTATCGGCCTTCACTCCTGCATCCAGCCGGGGTCTTTGTGGCCATGTTCAGTGGAAGAGCTGAAGCATAGGGAAAGCACGGAGAAAGAGCTGAGGAGGCAGAAGCCGGGAGAGAGGAAAACAGGAGAAACAGACACAAAATCAGGGTGGGTTACTACCCGTGGGAGGCACCACAGTGCAGCCAAAGACAGAGCAACTGCCCAGTCTGTCAGGCAGCCCTGGGGGCTGAACTTTCATTTCCACCCCAAGGGAGGGAGAGACCTGGGGCAGGACCTTTACATTGGCTGTGTCCTTCCTTCTGTCCTTCCTTCGGTTCAGGCCAGAAACCGAGAGCAGATTTGCTGTTACCAAGCATAGTCTGCACTTTCCTCACCTGGAGCCACTGGGATGATGGAAGGATGCCCTCCCACACTGGCTCCATGCAGGTGGGCAGCTCGCTTAGGGTCTGTACACTTTCCTACCTCTGTAGCCCTTCCACGTGATAGTTAAACCCCAGACCTCTGGAGCTGCGTATGCAAGAATGTCTTGCGCAGGTGTGGTCTCACTCCTCCCAGCAGCTGGGGTGGACACCAGAAACTGCACACTGCTGGCCTTCTGCAGGACTTCTGTGGAGCAGGCGCTCCTGTTCCTATGACAGATCTGTATTTTATCCAGTGTAACCTGCAATACATCGGCCAGGTATGTCTGGTTACCACTTTCCCTGACGCCTTGGAACGGACCTTCGAGACCTGGAGTAAAGGCTCACACAGCCCTTCACCCTCAGAGTGTCTCCCTAAAGCAGCCCCGAATGCCCTCATTCGCTAGCTTGATTATGTATTCACTCTACAAGAATCAATGATGAACCACCATAACCACACAGTCTCCTCCATCCTGGAACAAGAGAAGCAAAGACTAGCATGCCAGCTTGTTATCGGTCCCCAGAAGCTGGAGAGGCGTCTCCTGCTCTCCATCTCCCTGCCTGTGTGTCAGGACCCATACATCTGTACACACTACTTTATTCCCAGAACCATATGCGTCTCTTGTTTGCAGTCACATAAAGAGATCTCTACATGAACCCTGGTCAAGCACTGTCTCTGCGTTTGATACAGGCAGGATAGCATCGCTCCTGGCTGGCAAAGCACAATGGCTATCCGTTGCTGACTTTCTCGGTGCGGAGCGGGTGGGCAGACTTTTCTAGGTCTGATATTCACTCCTGAGGCTAAGCACTCCTCTGGGGTTTGGTGGCACTCTTGAGCAGCGACTCCATCCTCAGCCCCAGTGCTGGCAGAGGAAAGGAGTCTGGGTGGGTGTATGTGGGTGTTCTGTCCCCCCCCCCCCGGGGTGTCACCGTGACCTCTAAGTTAACACCGAGACTGAAACCTGCCCCTTACTGGCTGTGAGCAAGTAGGTTTACCCATTTGTGCCTTGCTTATGTTCTCAGTGCACAGCCTGTGTGTACTGACGGGGATATATGCATCGTGAATGAGTGGACAGTCAGGGTCTGTGTGTACAGTCTTCATGTAACATGCTGATCCTGGCGTGGGGTGGTGGTGGGTGTGCAGAAAGTTGGCTTGAGTTGACTGTGGCGCTCCCAGGTAACTAGATGTAGAGGCAAGGGCTCGCGGTCCTGAAGACTCCCCCCCCCCCCCCCCTTGATTTACTGAGACAAGGTCCCGCTATGTAGCTCAGACTGGAGCTGAACTTGTGAATCCCCCCCCCCCCCCCCACACACACACCTCCTACCCAAGGAGTCCCAGTTTCTGCTCTCTCTATCTGCCCTGCGCTAGGCCAGGCCTGAGAAAGCAGGACTAGCCTGCAGGCCTCTCTGTGTGGCCCTCAGCGGCGCTCCCCCCACCCTGTGGTTCAGTCTTCCGAATTCAGCAAAGTCCACGCAATGGAGCAGAGCGTGGCGTGGACCGGCCTGGACCGGCCTGGATGTACCAGGTGCTCTGAGGGGGAAGAGTAAAGTGTGGGACCACTGAGCGCCGCCGGCGCAGCGCGCGGGTGGGTGTGGGAGGTTGTCCCTCGTTGTCCCGCTCTCCCTTGCCACTCACAGAAGATGCTGCGGTATGTGGTATGGAGGTCTCCGTGAGAGTCTTGTCCCTGAAGTGGGGCGGAGAGAAAATCAAGAAGCCCGGACTTGGATGAGAGAGATGGGGGTGGGGGAGTGCACCTGGAAACAGATTAAAAAAACAGAACATCTACTTGGAAAGAAATAAAACATTAAGACAAAAGAGATAGTAATGCTAAATGAAGCAAGAAAGACGACCAAAGACACGTTGGGGTTAGAATTCTATGCGGGAAGCCGGGCTGGGCGGGGCGGAGGGGGCGGACGACGCTCCTGCCCTGGAAGGGCCTCGACGGGGCGCGGCGGCGGCGGAAGCGGGAGCCGGAGTCTGGCTGCTCGCTCGCCGCACCCCAGACCTCGCTCGGACGAAGAGCCGAGCGCCAGGGGCCGCCCCAGCCCAGGGCGCCGTGGAGCGCGGTGGAGCGCGGTGGAGGACGGCCGGAGGCTCGAACCCTGGGCGGGTCGCCGAGCCCGCGCCAGTGGCGCCCCGCGGTGTCCGGTGCCCGGGTTGTGACCCAGAGGCTTTGGCCCCGGAGAAGGACGTGGAGCCGGGACCGCGGCCGCTCCCCGTTTCGTCCCTAGCGGCCCGGTTCTCCCGGACGCTGCGCTCCCCGCGGCGGGTCCCGCTCGCATCCCAAGGCTAGGCTGGGCGAGCTTGCACCGCGTCTGGAGGCGCAGACGGCGTCCTGGGCCCCGCACCCTAGCAACCGGGACTCTAAGGCTGGCTCAGTTCCTCCTCCCCGAAACCTGAGCCACGCTCCGGGCCCTCCAGGTCTTCCCTGCTGGGCCAGAGGGCCGCCGCCGCCGCCGCGAGCTCGTGGCCACTTTCCCGGGCTCTGGTCTGAGGTCCCCGCAGCCCTTCCTGTAAGAAGGGGATGAGTACCTGTGACAGTTCGCCTAAGACCAAGCCTGAGCTGATGGGTCAGCAGACCTGTTCCCAGAAAGTTCTGGACCTCATCAAAACGAGCGATGTTAGCGCGAGTGGGTGTGGGCCACTCCCTAGCTTCTGCTGGGGATCCAGAGAACCCGCAGGGGGCCGGGCCGGGGTGACTGGCCGCGTGGGGCCGGGGCAGGTGGGAAGGGCACCGACTGCTGCGCAGTCCGGCTCACAATCTCTTCCTAAACTTGACGAAACGGTGGAGGAAAGCGGCTTCCCGGGGTGGCGGGTGGCAGGGTGGCGGTGTCTTGTACCTGGGCTGGGCTCTTCTCACCAGCTCAGGAGGGTAGCGTGGCTTTTCCGTTTGGTGTGGCGTTTAGGGTTGGGCCGATGACTGTCCTTCCTCTCTGCCTGTACCCCCCGCTTCTGAATCCCGTCAATTTCTCTCAAATAAACAGATACATGGCATATTGTCGCTTTTCAAAAAAAAAAAAATGGCATAAAACAATTCACGGTACATTGAAATAGCCTGACATAAAACGCCGCTGTAGAGTCAGATTCCTCTCAGGGCCTCTGCCTGAGGCATCTTTTAGAGTTGACACTCTCTGAGACGTTGGGATTTTTTTCTTCTGCACGGCGGCGGTACAGAGGACCAGACTGACATGCCTTCTGCTTGGAACTGAATTTGTACTGCCTTTCTACGTTTACCACCAGGAGCAGCGTTATTATTTCGAGAGAGTTTTGCTTGTTGTCCTAGCTAGCCTTGAACTCACAGCAACCCTTCTGGCTTAATAATTTGTATTTTGTTTCTTCTTTCCTTTGGGTGTGTGTTGAGGGGGTGGGGGTGGGAGTGGGTCTTGAACCTATGGCCTTGTGCACAGTAGGCAAGAACTCTGTCATGGGGCTATATCCTTTTATTTGTGAATTTATTCTAGGAGACTTGTGAACATGGCACATATTTTGATTTGTGTTTTGTTTTTTCTCTTTGTGTTTTTTGTTTGCTTGTTTGTTTGTGATAATGCCCATACAGCCTGGGCTGGCCTCCAACTCCTTATATAGTCAAGGTTAGCCTTGAACTGCTCATCCTCCTGCTGTCCAAGTGCTGGGGTGACATGCACCAGGCACTATGTTTATTTAGCTCTATGCTTTAGTTTTTTTGTTTGCTTGCTTCTGTTTTTTGTTTTGTTTTTTGTCTTTTTTGTTTGTTTGTTTGTTTGTTTTGTAGCCCTGGCTGCCCTGGAACTCACTTTGTAGACCAGGCTGGCCTGAAACTCAGAGAGCTGCCTGCCTCTGGCTCCCAAGTGCTGGGATTAAAGGCATGTGCCACCACTGCCCAGCATGCTTTAGTTTTTAATAGTCAAAGTAAAATCTGTAAGTGCAATTCAGTTCACTCAGATACCTATCCAGAGACAGATCCAACAATAAATTGGGATGTGTAGGCCTGGCATGGTGTTGTAAGCCTGTAATTCCGCACTGGGGAGACAGAGACAGGAAGATAACTCATAAATTTGATGACAGCCTGGTCTATATAGCAAGTTCCAGGCTAGCCAGAAGGACACAGAGAGACCTTGTCTTAAACAAAACAAAACAAAACAAAACAAATGTTTGGAAAACGACTTACAATGCTAAAATAGATAAAGAAGATGTTCAGGAAAGGGAGAGTTTGGACTTGCTTATCAGCATGAGTAGGTTTTACAGCACAGTGTTGTAATAATGGGGGGGGTTAAAATTGAAGGAGACAAATAACACCCTCCACTTGTACAGGCTAGAACAGGTGGACTGGACAGGGATGTGGCTCACAGCACGTTTCTGTATTAGGAAGACAGGGAGTCAAATAAAAGGCCAGGGAGAACACAAGAGAGAGCAGAAGGAAGATGGGAGGATGGAGACACAGGAAAGCCATGAGTGTGGAGGCGGGTTCAGCCCTCCTGCTAACCCTATGACCTCAGGTAAATCACCCACCCCATTCCAGTGCCTCCTCATTCAGCGCCAGGCCTGAAATCCTGTACATCCAGCTTTCTGTATAAACTGCAAGAAGTCAGTTGAAATGGGGTCCACAGACAACCTCCATCGGCACCCACAATCTCACCATGCCTGGTGTCTGGAGAGAGCTCCACTTGGCGGGACCTCAATAAGGAGGGGAGCCCTCCCAGGCTAGGGCAGTTTGCTATGCCTTTCCTACCCCTTCCAGTTTCTCATCCCATGCCCCCACAGTGGATGCCTTCCATGGGGTCGGCTGTAACAACCCTTGAGTGTGGAAGAGGAGATGGGCCTGAGCCATAGCTTTGGGAATGCTGGGGAGGACATGTGGAGATCTTGAGGCAGACAGACTTTGAATTCTACGAGTTTTCTTTCCTTCCCAGGCTAGAGATTCAGTGACATTATCTTTGCCACCCCCACCCCACTCCCACACCCCGGGTTAGGAGGGTCCGAGGACACATGCCGAAGAAAAGTGAGGCTGGGGGACTGGGGTCCTTTCTGTCTCCAAGGAAGAGAGTCTAAAGAACTCCCCCCAAGCTCTCCAGAGCGGGATTCCACCGCTCCCAGAGGGGTCCATTCTAACAAGGTGCCCCTCGGCCTGCCCCTCCCTCCCCAGGAGCTGAAGCCGCCAAAGGTTCTGGAATATAATGGATCATTTTCCAATTTACCAGGGTCTTAGAGATTACGCCGCTAATCCCATCAAAGACCATCTGCTTACATTGTCCCTCCTGAGCCAAAATAAATAGACCCTTTACTCCCTCCACTTCAGCCCTCTGGGGTATTTGTACCAAGAGAATGGCCAAGGCCCACCCCATCCTCCCCACCCCCTCCCAACTGAGCCCTGGACAGAAAGGCAGAAAACAAACTTAGCTTGTCTGAGGTGTGAAAGGTCACTCAGGCTCCTGACCTGCCTTCTTCCCAGAGAGCCTTCCCTGATGGGAATAGGGAGAGGGGCGGGCCGGAGCTCTAGGGGTCTCTGGGGATCAGCCCCCTGTGGAGGTGTGGGACAGGCTATTCAGTCCCCCACCGTCCCGCTGTCTTTGCCTTGAGGCTGCCTTAGCCCAGGCCAATTCTGGTCTCTTTCTAGTTATCTTACATTTTCCCCACCTGAGTCTACTGGGACATAATTACTGAAATCTGGCTTTCATTTGTCCCTTGGCAAAATTATGGGGAAAGGGGCACAAAAATCCAATAAACACTAATATGTTTTTAATCTCCATGCATTTATTCTGAGGGCTATTCCTGCTTGCTCAGCCACGGGTTAGTACCCTTGTCTAGAAGGACTTGGTAAACCAGAGAGGAGGTTAGCAACATCTCTTCAGTCTCCTTCCTGATAGTACACACGGACAGACAGCGAGGTGCCGGGGAGATGGATACGTAGGTGTGCTGGCTTGTGCCAACTTGACACAATCTAGAATCTTCAGAGAGGAGGGAGCCTCAGTAGAGAAAATGCCCCTGTAAGATTGGGCTGTAGGCAGAACTGTAGGGCATTTTCCCAATTAGTGATTGATGGGGCAGGGCCCAGCCCACTGTGGGTGGTGCCATCCCTGGGCTGGTGGTCCTGGGTTCTATATGAAAGCAGGCTGAGCAAACCAGTGGAAAAGTGGGGAGCAAGCCAGTAAGCAGCACCCCTCCGTGGCCTCTGCATCAGCTCCTGCCTCCAGGTTCCTGTCCTGTTTGAGTTCCTGTCCTGATGTCCTTCAGTGATGAACAGTGATGTGGAAGTGTAGACAGATCAACCCTCTCTTCCCCAGCTTGCTTTTGTCATGGTATTTCATCACCGCAACAGGAACCCAATCTAAGGATGCAGAGTGCTCGCTGCAGGAGCCCAAGGCACTGAGCTCGGATCCCCAGCAGGATTTAAAAGCTAAGGGGACTGGTGGAATGAATCTGCATTCCCGGCCAGAGAGGCTGACAAAGGAGGACCCTGGGGGCTGTGACCAGCCAGCTGAGCTCAACAGGGTAGGAAGGTGGGCTCTAGGTTCAGAGAAGGACCTTACCTTTCAAAAACAAAAGGAGGAAGGTGATAGAGGGAGACACCTCCATTAACCTCTGGCTTCCATATGCATGCACACACACACACACTTTCACACACATCACCATGCATGTGCACTCACACACTGACAGAAAAATGAAAAGAAATAATAAAAATAAAAAGGGAGTGACTGCCGTGGAAAGGAACAGAAAACAGCACAAGGCAGTGAAAGTGGCTCTTCCTTGCTGAGGAGGTGGTCCAGATGTTGAGGAGGTGGTCCAGATGTTGACGTGGTCAGCGGGGTCTCAGGAACAGCCCATCTCTGCACCTTCCTTAGCTGATGCTGTTTCCACCTCATTTTATCATTCAGCCATTATTGCCAGCTGCTTTCTACCCTGCTCGAGGAACTGAAAGGGGGTCAATCTGAAGAAGCCAGTCTCCCCAGCTCTGCCAAACAACTGCTGATTTGGGGGTGATGGCCACGAATGACTGATCCCCAGGAGGGGGACATACTTCATTTAGAAAAACAGCTGAGGTGGGGGACGGGGAAAGCAAATGGCTCTGCTCCTTCCAGCTGGGGGTCTTGGGCACGGTGCCCTTTGCCCTCTGATTCCCCTTCTCCTTTCGACACAGAGATCAAACCTGCCCCCAGGGCTGCTGTGAAGTTGCCAGAGACCGGCTGCATGCCATTCCTGATGTGCTGCCGAATGGGGCAGGGAACGAGCCCCCATCAGATGCTAGGAGAGGTCCATCCACTTAAGAGAGAGATGGGGCGTTCTGAGGCTTTGCCTTCAGACACAAAAGATGAACTCTTAGTTCCTAAGTTGGTTCATTTGACAAATGTTCGCTGGGTGCCTCCCTGTGTAAGGTAGTAAGGGATCAAAAAAAAAAAAAAATGGTCTGGGGATGTGTCATAAGTGAAGAGCAAAAACAGGGACATTGATTACTGCTCAGAAAATATAGGGAGAAATTCTAGCACATGTCTGTAAGTCCAGCACATGGGAGGCCATGGCAAAAGATGAAGAGTTTAAGGCCATCCTGGCTACAAGCTAGGGGAGAGAGAGAGAGAGAGAGAGAGAGAGAGAGAGAGAGAGAGAGAGAGAGAGAGAGAGAGAGAGAGAGAGAGCAGAATCAGGATGGCTTTGTCATAGGTGTGTGAGCCGGGTTGTGCCCGGAGGATGAGGG